TTGGGTGCCGTTGAGTCCAACTCATAACAACTTCATGTGACAGAGTAGAACAGATCCATAGGCTTTTCTTGGCTGTAATATTTATGGGAGCAGATCGCCAGGTCTTTCTCCCACGGAGCCACTGGGTGGGTTCAAACTATCAACCTTTTGGTTAGCAGCTGAGCTCTTAATCATTGAGTCACCAAGGCTCCTATAATGTATAGCAAAAAACCACACAAGCAGGAAGAGAGGAAAAGAATGGGATCCAGGGAGAATGACCACTGCTTGCTGCGGGAAGGCGGGAGGAGGAAGTGGCATTTCAGTGGGACCCTGAAGGATGGCACGTGGTCTTCACAAAATATAAGAAGTTCTTTCTCTGAAGTCCTCATGACCCTCCCTACTTTTACTACCATTTATAATTTGTATTTATAATTTGTATTTGTGGGGTTATTTGATAAACATTGGTCTCCAAGAGGTCAGGAACTCAGTCTGAACTTCTCATTGCTGAATCTCAGCCTCTGGCCTGGTGCCTGGCATTTGGAAGGCACTCAATAAGCGCTGTTGAAAGAGGGAAGGCATGGATGAGAAAATAAAAGTATTCGTTTCAATTTGATGAAGAAATTGAGCAACCTAAATCCTAAGGAGTATTTTCTTAGACTGGGCAAGGCTAGAACAAAGCAAAGGTTTTAGCAGGGAGTCTAGCAACAGCCTCATAAGGGAAGAGCCTGGGTGTTTTCAGGCCTGAGTTCCTCACTCTGCATTCCGCCCGCAGGGCTTTGTCAACTCTGAGGCGCTGTGTAAACATGAAGAGTGTGGTTACCATTATGATGGGAAAGAGCCACAGGGCCAGTCCCAGTGGACTCATGCGTCTTTTAAGGGGGCCCATCTGGACACAACAGCCTGCATCTGTGGACTCCTCAGCTGCAGACAGCAGGTAAGGACCCCACCCAGCTCAGGAAGTGTGATCAGAGAGACCACGAGGGGTGGGTGGGTGTCCCACAAATGCCTCTGCCAGAACTCTGAGAACAAGCCAGCAGGAAGTAGATCCAGCGGGGAGCCAGGCAGTCTGCGCAGCTCACCAAAACTGCAGGCCTGGTTAAGGAGACTGATTCTGTGACCTGAAGACCTGCGTGTGCGTGTGTGTGTTGGTGGGGTGTTTTTCAATCTGACTAGAACTCATCAAGAACTCACTATGTATCACGGGAAGATGAGTGAGGCATGGTGTGCCTTCAAAAGTCTCAGTTTGATGAATACTTTGGAGAAGCTAGAGTCCTTGCGTGGTGCAGTTAACTCACTCAGCTAAATGAAAGGTTGGAGGTTTGAGTCCACCCAGAGGTGCCTCGGAAGAAAGGCCTGATGATCTACTTCTGAAAATCAGCCATTGAAAACCCTAGGGAGCAGAGCTCTATCCTGACACACATGGGGTCACCATGAGTTGAAATTGACTCGATGACAACTGTTTTTTGTTGTTGCTGTTGGAGAGGTTGCCAAAACAAGCTCTTCAAAGGGTGCTCAGTCCCCACTACCACCTCCTGGTCCTTCTCACTCTGGCAGCTTCAAAGAGGCTGGGTGGCTGATTTCCTTGAATTGCCTTCTTAAACTCAGGAAAATGCTCTGCCAGCTGTTTTGGGGGTTCTGCATTTATATCAAGCTTTAAATGTTGGCAGGATGAGAAGAACAAATTTCAGGGCATGAATTCTCAGTCTTCCAAGAGAATTCCCAAATAATCCATTCTCTTAACACTGAAGCCTCCCCAGTAAAGATAAATATTGAAATGATGTTGTCGTTGTTGTTAGGTACTGTCGAGTTGATTTTGACTCATAGCAACCCCATATGACAGAGTAGAACTGCCTCATAGGGTTTTCTAGGCTGTCATCTTGATGGAAGCAGACAGCCAGGTCTTTCTCCCATGGAGCTGCTGGGTGGGTTCCAGCCACCAGGGCTCCTTACTGAAATGATAGGGTGATTATTATAATTATATTAT